AGGTCTGTAGCTACCAGGGTCCTCCTTCCTGTCCTTCTTGAAGGTGGACACTACATTTGCCAGCCTCCAGTCCACTGGGACATCCCCGGTTAACCAGGACTGCTGAAAGATGATGGAGAGTGTCTTGGCAACCACCTCTGTCAGCTCCCTCAGCGCTCTAGGGTGTAATCCATCAGGCCCCATAGATTTATGAGGATTCAGCTTATGAAGCAGGTCCATAACCATTTCCTCATGGATTATGTAGGTCCTATTCTGTTCCTCATCCCTTTCTTCAAGCTCAGGGGTCTGTGTGCCCAGAGAACAACTGGTCTTGCTGTTAAAGGCTGAGGCAAAGAAGGCTTTAAGCACCTCAGCTTTTTCCATATCCATGGTCACCGTTCTTCCCTCTCCATCCAACAAAGGATGGAGATTCTCCTTAGATCTCCTCTTACTGTTAACATATTTATAGAAACTTTTCTTGTTATTCTTCACCACAGTGGTCATGTTCAGCTCTAGGTGGGCTGTGGCCCCCTTCAGAGGTAACACAGAGTGTATCACCCATCACAGCAGGACTGGATGATCCGGATAAAATTTCTTTGATCAGATGTGAAGAGGAGTAGAACCTATAGCCCCACTAATAGTCTTTGATGGCTCTGTTGTTATAACCTGTGAAAAGTTTTTAGAAATTGTAGCTTTGCTCGTTCTGGGATTTTGTGTTTCAGGCTGTATGGTTGTATTATTAATAATCTTATACTAACCTATAAGAATTGTTACATAGTAAGACCAGAGAGAATGAAAGATTATGAGAAGCATATTAATTGGACCTATTAATTGGACTGGCACTTTTACATTAGGTTATTTTTTTATCCTGGCATCTCAATATATTCAGACTTCTTAAGACTGAAATGCTTGGGTGGGATTATTAACTTTGACACTAACAAATGAGGTGATATGAGTTGATCTTATGTTGTGGCAAATGGGTGTGTGAGAGGCTGGAAGGAAGACATAACTCAAGGAAAGGCTAGAAAAATAATGCTGAATATATTAGAGGATATGGAAGAAGAAAAGGAAGAAGCGTTTGAACTAGTTATTCTAAATGATTATAAAACCTAGAGGCAAGAACACATGATGAGACAGCTTGGCCCACATGCTTACTGATCCTGGTTTCCCAGGAGTTGTGAGGACTGAAGACAGTAGTTCGCAACTACAGAGCACAGATGAGTGAAAAAAGAAATAGGCATACTTACAGACATGCAGTGTGTCACTGTTTTCTTATTGCCTGTACTTGGCAATAAAAATTAGGTTAATGAAGAAAAATTGCAATGAACAGCATAATTTGGCCTTTTCTGTTAGGATCAGAAATTCAGAAAGACATAGATAAATTAATGACTTTATAACCTCCACATCTGCTTTACTGTCTTGACACTAATGAACTTCTTTCTTGCTTGCTTTGTTTTAGAAGCTCACTTCTTGCCGTCCTTGTGCACAGAGCACATCCTTTTCACCTGGATAATGCGGGGCTGGCTTAGCTCTTCATCCCAGTAGTACTCTGGGGAGAGCAGGCGTGTGGGCTTGTGATACAGGAGATACTTGTTCAGGTGGCTTTCATCATGCCGTTTAGCTTCAATGCCGTTTTTTCTGTCCTCCATGATCCCTTTAAAACAGGCTCTGGTCAGTTTGTAGACCTCAGCCACACTTCCCCCGTAGAAGCTTGCTGTATAATAGAAGTCCCCTTCTCCCTTGGGGATAGCAGCTTGTGACTCAGTGCGTGTCTCATATGGTTTGCTCTCACGACATGCATTGTACTCCCAGGAGCTGATGGTTCCCACCAGTGTATCAATGATCTCCACACCAATGTGTTCAAATAGCTGGACATCAATGTCTATGGAGTAGAGATAGTCGACATCATACTGGAAGTGGCTGCGAATATATCTGCTGATGATACCCATACGGCTCATGGAGATATCCTGCCACCGTGAGTAATTCTGGACAGGGATGACAAAGAGGTGATTCTCAGGGGCCATCTGAAGGTGAGAGATCTGCTCAGGTTTGTCTGTGAACAAGTAGAAGTTCACCTGGTGCCCAGCAAGGAAGTACTTGTTGGCAGAGCTCATGAACCCTTCTACGAACTGGACATATCTGAGAGACAAGAAAGGGAAAATAGTAAAGAGGGGTACCTCCTGAATTTCTAAGTTAATTTTATTTCTCCTTTTCTGTTCATTGCTCCCTTCTTATGTTAGAGCCCTTTATCTAACATAGCTGTTGCCCAGTCAACCCTTCCTCATGCTGCTGCACATTACATCATTTTTCAGTTTCCACTATTCTCTACTCCATGCTCACTGAACACAACACATTCCTTTTACCCCATGCTGCTCCCTAATATCACCACATAGTATAAATATTTTGACTCCCTGATACTCTTTCTGCAGTTTAACTTTTTAACTTATTGTTCAAGAGAGGACCAAAATTATCAATGAAGTAATTTTGATTGTCTTGAGATACCTGAAGTCTCTACTTAAATCTGGGGTACTTAGTGGAGACAGAGGGAGTATAGTTCTTTACTCATCCAGAAACTTGAAGAGGAACCTCCCCCAGAACTTACAAGCTATAACAGCATGGTTATTAATATACTGGAGACAGTATTTCAACTTATAGTTAACATTTTAACTCTAACCAGGAACCCGTTAAAAATGTCAGCTTTGCAGAATTTTTGTGGTTTTTACCCCAGGGTGAAGGCAAGTGTTGTTGTTAGAAACATAGCAGGAGCTGGAATTTTCTTCTCGAGGGATCAAAAGAATAGTTGTATTTCTAGGGATATTTTTTGCCCTTTGTAAGGCATTTTCTCCTGCTTTTTCACAGCCAATTGCTTCCCTTGGGAAGTTGACCCTTACTTGTCCCATTTCTCCCAGCCTGAAGCTTCTCACATTCTGTGTTTGGAATCTTCCTAACTCTTGCTGTACCAGCAGTATTGCAGCACATCTGGCAGGTGAGAGATTTAAGTATCTGACAAAAAATAAATCATAAACTAATACTTTTTAACAGCAAAAGTGACCACTCCAGTGACCAGCTTGTTCTGCATATACTGGGCATTCAGGATGTCTCTGTTGAATGTGCCTTCCCAGACGATTGGAGCCAACCAGGGGGTCAACACCAGTACATCTCGCCTCCTGCAAGAAGTTTGAGAATGAAGGTAGCCTTTATATGGCTTAGAGAATTCACGTAGAAAAATACTTCTTCAGCACATCTGCCCACCTTTGAGTTAATCATCCCAGACTTCCTTTGAAATCACTACTGCCTTTTGCAGGTGCCACTGTCCACTGAGTCCCTTAGGCCTTACACTGATTAGACTTGTCTGTATGATTGTTCACAACCAGCATATTTCTCAAGGCATTTTTTCTGCCCAAATGCATGTGTTAATGTTAGAGTTGTGCACATCTGAACAAGTTGGCAGGGATCCATTATTGTAAGTGAAGAGAAACAAGCTCTTCTATGGTGTACTCATTCTTCCCATAATACAAGGACATACAATATGTTTATGCCACAGACATATTTGCAATTTCCATTTTACTGTAATGGGAGCCTGAGAAACGAGATGCGGACATGTATGATCCTTACACTGCACAGGGGACTTTCCGATGCCTTCTGATTTCCTCACTGCAGGCATCTGCATGTGAGTGATCTACACCACATTCATAGCCAGTGGCAAGAAATGGGCACTTCCAGGGAAACTCCTCCAAATTATGTTGAACATTTGGATGAACTACATATAAGAATTTCCTATTTATATGTACTGAGTTTAAGCATGAAATCATTAGTTAAAGGTAAGTGTTGTTAGGGGAGTTGCTGAGTCTGCTAGCCCAGCAGAAGCAAGGCTGTTGCAGCTCAGTGTTCCCTGGTCCAGCCAGTAGTGAGGCTGAGGATATTTTCACAACAAACACACACTGGCATAACATGCTCTGGTCTCTCCAGCTGCAGGCACCACAGACACACACATCTCCAACCCCTGGTCTGACTACACTTGCATTTAGTCCTCCATACCAACACATGCACACAGAAGAACCTCTTACCTAGGAAAATAGGTGGAAATGGAACTTAATGAGAACACAGAACAAACTGTACTGACCAGGTACAGGGCATTGTCACAAAAGTCTACTGACCATCACACCTTTACATGCAACCACACCCTTATATAACTTTCTCATTTTTTCCCACGTTTGCTCCTCCTCAGACCACCCTGATTCCTCCCCTTCTCCACTTGTGGGTGCTTCTCCCAGCATCTCATAATTAGTCTTCCATAATCCCAAAATTCTCTTCCCTGCCATCCCATGCTCTTGTAGGGAGTAATTCCTCTCATTCTGAAGGTTGCTCGAGAGAGCCTCTCCCTTTGACTTATCGTACTAGATTTCATCCCTGGACAATGACAATGATAGGTCTCCTGTTACAGCCTTGTAGGCACCCTTACACTGTGATTGTTTCTCTTACTGTTTCCCTGCCTTCCATTGTCCCTCTGTGCTCCTTTGTGATGTGTAGAGATGAATATTTATTACACAACGTAAGAAGTGTCTATGTGACAAATTTCTGACGTTAGCTGTGGAGAATCATCCTTGATACATCTTCTTCTTTTCAATATTAACAGGTTTTAAAAAAAAATCAAACTTACTGTGGTTTTGTCAGAAGTGGTTGAGGATATAATATGCTGTAGAAAAGAAAAACTATATTACGTTGGAATAATATGCATGGTCATTCATTATTTCTATAATCCAATAATAGTAATAACAAGAATAGTAGGGCTTGTAAGAGTATGTGAAAGTTCTCATTTGAGAGGATATCCGGTTAACGACTATTCAGCGTTAAAGGTAAAGGCAAGAAACAAATTATGTAATCAATAAAATTAAGACACAAAACTTAATGAACAGTGGATTATTAAAACAATAACAAAGACAGGAACTCGTATGCCAGAAACTGATGGGCTGAGGCAAATTGTGGCAATGTGCTATATTGGTGGAAGACCCAAAGCAGAGCAAGGGAGGAATAGAGGTAGCCAGGGAGCAACTAATGTGGGGAAATGGAGACAAGTTGATGGATAATAGGGTATAGTCTTATGTAAACAGGGTGTTGGTCACTCAGATAGTCTGGCTAAGTCGTTAGCCTGATCTCTGCAGACTGTTCTATCTTCTTTTTGAACTCTATGCTACTTATTTCCCCTATAACCTTAGTCTCTAGTCCATGCATGCAGACGGATATGTGGACAAATGTCGGACTGATCAAGCCTGTGAGCAAGAGGAGACCAGCATCTGGAAAGATTTGAGGTCAAAGCTGGAGACTGGATAAGTGAGACCCAAGGTCTGGGCATTCAGTCTGGTCTAGGCTTTGAGGAACTCACAGGCACATGCATTCTTGTGGAACAAAAGAATGAAGGGGTGTGTTTGTCCACTTATGAGCTACAGCTTTGATGAGCAGGAAAGAGGAATAGGATCAGGCAGTCTGAGTTGTTTGCTGAGTCCTGCTTATGTAAAAACACTGCTCCCTGCTCTGTCTGGGCCAGTCTAGGTAACCTCCGTGTCTTTATTCTGTGCGTGCTTGCATCTTGCTGATCGTGTTCACTTTCAACATAGGTTGGAGATATAGACTGAGAAAAAGAAATCTTTTAGTCTTAAAGATGACAAGATTATTCTTGCTTTAAAAAATAATAATTACACAGGCCTTTGCTTTACAATAAAGAGACTATGGCATTTCTCTGTAAATTCTGGAAAAGAGCAGCTCTATTAGAGTGTATTTGAAGTGAAGAAGCTGTCCTTCACACAGAACGTAAGATGGCATAAGAGGCCAAGGGAGAAATCCTTCAGGGTAATGCTTGCAGAGTGTTCTTAGGCTTTTGTTTCAATATACTGACTCATGTATAAGCAGAGCCTTGCCAGTTACAGGAATGTGTTTCTGAATTGCTGAAGTGCTAATTGGAAGCATTATCCCCTATCTAGAAGGATAATTTAGATCATTGCACAATATGAGATCATTTTGCATCTGAATAGCTCTAAACCAGCCCCTGTGTTAATAGTGGGAAGGTGTGTGCCTACATGTGTATGAGTTTGTGCACAATGTGGATTGTTAAAAACATTATCAGTACTTGGAGAGCTGGGTAAAGATTTCAGCTTAGAGACATCTTCCTCAATATGACTAGAGAAGTCCAGGAATAGAACAAATAACAAAACAACAAAATTCCTCAGAACTCCCTCCTGTTAGGATTGTAGTAGTGACACTTAAAATCTGGGGGGAAAAAAAATAAAGAAACATTAATATGGCTCTAGAATAGGTAATTTCAGAAAATAATTTATCCCTAAGATGTCCCTTTCACAGACATTTACAAATCATCTGGGATGATGACTCTTACTTCTTAAAATAACATCACCCAAGGACTCTGCTTTAGCTTCTGGGATGGGTGGTGGTGGTGGACGGAAAAAAATAGCTAAGTTCTAAGTAAAACAAAACCGATAATTATTCACAATAATGAAGGCTCTGCATTCGCCATAATTTCCTAATTTCCTTTCTGAAAGCAAACAAATGAAAGATTCTGCGTGTATGCATTTTTTGATGGTTTCTGGAAGACTTCCTCTCTAAACAGACCAGACATTCTTTTCTTTAGCCTTGTTCTCAGCTTTCCTGACTTCTATGTATCAGAAACACAGTCATGAGAACAATGTAATATCACATTAATAAAGGCAGAGAGCTTAATTCTTACCGTGGAAGCACTGGAGATGTTTCATTTAAGTCTGCTTGTCTAAAAGTGTGAGAGAAAAGACACATAAATATCTCATGGTGCAGCAGTTTCAGATTTTCTTTTTCATGACAGGAGGGATGAGCCTCTCAAGAGATCCTTACACGTGTGCTCTTCCTTGACCCACTGTCGATGGGTATCCAGTCAGTTAGGCTCCATCACAATCACTATGATGTGATTAATGTTACTTCACTTCCATATATAATGTCAAGTAATGTTCCTCAGACACACCACTCAGTTCGTCTAATGAGGGTTGAATGCAAAATCATCTATATTGATATTATTTTCAGCAGGTCTGTAGTGCATCTTCAGGAAATTTGTTTTCGACCTAGATGTAGCGGAACTGTGACCACTGGATAAAGTATACCTCGAGGTGAATTGCTTATTTGGAGCATTCTGGTATTACTGTGCCCACTCTTATTTCAGGGCTAACAGCACTAGCAACTCCCCACCACTTCCTCACATGTATCTGCTATGATCTTACCCATTTTTGCTTAATCAAGCGTGTCTAGTTTGAATTGCATACAACCTAGGTTTCCACTGAATCTGACATAGTTCCCTTGTTACCAAGACATAATTTTGACTTTTGAGACTACCCAGGTTTAAAGCTCATGAAAAAAACCAAGATCTGTGTCACAGACGGTAAGAGTATTAGCTTTACTATTTCACAGGAAGAGTGTCAGTTGCATTCCCTCCTTGTAGATGAATCTTGCCCTCTTCTGGCAAGAGCATGTGTATGTATTCTGAATATCTTTAGGGAGGCTCTGAAAAAATGAAGAGAGATGTTCCTAATAAGCTCTGCTCTGTATTTTCTAGAGAAAGAAGTTAATGCAGTGACCTGTCCCCTATACTGAACCCATATTTTGAACTCCCATTAAAGGACAGCTCAGGATTCAACATAATCCTTATGGTGGACGATCAGAAATTGTTGTTAAGAGTAAAACTCAGAAATCCAATTATTCGACAAGCCTGCTGCTCTTTCTGGACTAAAGATCAGGCTTCGGTACTAGGTGTTACTCAACACAGATAAAGGAAGAAGACTGATGTTTAGCAAGACGTCCATACATAGGTCAGAGCTGTGAGAGAGTAGACATTAAGTCCTTACCGTGAAAACTGACACAAGCTCTGATTCATTTTGGTCATATTAAAACCAAAACAAAACACAGAAAAGAATTTCAGGTTAGTGAAAAGAATATCAGCGACATAAGGCAGGTCCTACTGTCTTACACAGTGCTGTACATCCCAGGTTTCACTTCTAAAGGCATTGGTTTGGAATTAAGATCATTGAAGAGGCACTTCTGACCAAATAAAATCAGGTTTTTTCAGGTACAAGACGAACATTCCTTTAACTAAAGTTAGTCCTAATACTCGCACACATTGTTTATATTGTTAAAATCGCAGCTGTACTGATTGCAAAGGATTTACTTCCTGCTTACTAAAAAATAAAGATCCTAGTGGCCCTGTCTTTGTATTTATATAATATTATGACAGCAGCCTCAGTTCTAGAACTATAATTCGTTGTCCAGAAGGTTATTTTGGTAAGAACATGACACAGACTGTCTCTCAATCCCTAAATAAGAATGGGATTAAGAGACTTTGGCAGGGCCCACTTCTTTCTGATTACTACAGAGGAAGCCTAGGTGGCTTCATTGGAAGTAGATAACCAACCTTCTGATGTCTCAACCAGGTAGGATTAAGCTGTCTTTTCATGGCATGATTTTGGGGGAGCTGAATCAATTTATTTATATTTCACTCTTCAGACTCCCCATGTTAAATCTCTGGAATCTGAGTCCATTCATCCAGCTCAAGGCACTCATGGTAGAGATGGCTGCATCTTAGCCAGTCACTAAAGGAAGACTTATCCCAAAATGGAAATAGGCACTTCTAGGACATGGCTTTTCTGCTTAAGAATTAGTCTTATCAGGTGAGTCTTAGCCTAGTGGCCTAGGATATATATGCTGTATCTTGCAAGGCTTGCAGAATGAAACTTAGTCCCTTACAGCAAGAGATCCTCTTCAGAAGAGGCTGTGGGTTCCTGGTCACTGGCTGAGGAGAAAGGGTGATGGAACCTCGGACAGAATAAGAAAGCCATGAGTCAATGACAAAAGCAATAAATAATCCCCTCCATTCCCTTTATGGCTGAAACTCTGAAACAAGGCTAAGAGAATACAAATATGTGGGGCCAGCTGCTGATGGGGTTATGCAAAGCTCAGCTGTTTCAAGAGAGCTTTTTAGCCTGGCGTTATCTGCAGATCTATGAACTTTGAAAATCTGTGGATGATTTGCACTTCAGGAGGCCCAAGACCACTCTTGCCAAAGCGAATGTTTCTGCTTTACAGTAGAGCTCACCCTCAGCTGCTGTTAGAAACTTACTGTGTAGCCCCCTTTTGGAGTGAAGTGATATATCCTCGTTTTGGCTCTGCTCCGGCCAGTATGTGGGTTCTCCTCTGATGTGAGTCAAACTGTACCAGCAACAAAAATGTAAGCACTTGTGATGGATAATGCTCTGCCTCAGACAGAGTATATGGATTAAAACCTTGTCCTAGTTCCTCCATTTGGGGCAGTCCTCCAATATTATTCCAGCAAACTCTGCATTCCCGGGCCTCAAGGCACAGAGCACATACTACACAAGTATGAAAACATCATTCTAGGAGGCTGCTATAGGGACACACAAACCAAGGGAGACCAAGGCTAATCATTATGTGGGATAAATATGGCTAAGTCCACTCCACAGAATACTAGCTCTATGACAGGATCATTCTGTTCATCTGAACTCCGGAGATGTCATCATGGTATATAAACATCAAAATACATACTTGGGCCCACAAGAATATACAGAGCTTAATTAATGAGATTTTTAGAATTTCACACAAGAGACAACAAATGTCCACACTTGCCTAATTTTATCTTTTGAATACAGAATGGGATTAGGAATTTAGCTTTGAGGAACTGCTTACATTGCACCTGCCCAAGCATAGCGAGAAGAAACATCACTCAAGATGAGCAATAGAAATATATGCAACTTGAAAATCATTATCAAACTTTAAACACTCACCAGATAGCTGCAGTGATTCCTGCTGTCACTAGAATAGCCAGTCCATGTAATTTTGTGATTCCCATGTTGCTGGTGTTGGTAAAAAGATTGTGAACCCTGAATTGACAGTGAAAAGGGAAAAAAAAAATCAACCCACTGAAAATGCTGTAGTTATTAAATATTGAATAAGTCTCCTGTTTTGGACAGCAGGTCTGGGCATAATACAGAGAAAAATTATTTATTCTAGATGGAATGTTTTACATCTAAGTATTTATAATAGATACTAGATATTTACAATAGATATTCCACAGACTGAGCTCTCATTTTAAAATGGTAGCACAGTGAATCGTTTTATTAACATAAAGAAAAATAATTCTCAGTTCAGATTCTCTCTGGATCTGATTTTCTCCTTTTCCTGGCCAGTGCCCACTCTGCTTTTTATCTTCTCTGTTCCAATCTTTCATTCATCCATTCTTCTGTCTAGCTGTCTTTTTTTGACCTAGCTTCCTCGGGTTTTCTTCTACATCTCTTCCCTGTGCAGTTCTCTGACTTTGCAAGTTGAAGGCTGCAATCCTCTTCTCTAGGTCAGCTTCTCTTCCCCGTCCGTTCTGTGGCTGCTCACAGCTGTGCTTCAGTCAAACCTCCCTTTGCATCAGCATCCTGAAAAAAAGCTTTGTAGCATTCTTTGTCCATATTACCTTCCTCTGCTCTCAGCTGCTCTCGAGCATCCCTTCCACCTGTGCTAGCCACCATTCTCTCACATCCTGCTCACAGCACTCACCTGTGCTTTCAGCTCCTCTGCTTCAGCAGCTCCTATTCTCTTCCTCTTCTACTTCATATCTTCTCACATACCTGCTGAAACAGCACAACAAATGCTTTCTGTATGTCAGCCATGTGTCAGCAGATGGGCCCAAGGCCAAATGATGGGCCCCCACCCAGTTCTTTACCTTACGTGGGAGTGCTGCCTTCTGAGTAATGGGGAAACAACAAGAAACGTGCAATAACCTGTAATTGCAACCCTGAGATTTCTGATGAGTGGGAAGGTGACCACCCAGACTTTTGGTATGGAGATTTTTTCCTTAGAATATGTGCATTTTTATTAAGGATTATTTCTCCTAATTGCAAATATCTGTCATGTTGTTGTGGATAGAGTCTCTCAGGAGAGAACTAACAATATTGGTACGCGAGTTATCAAAGTTCAGTGGTAAATGTGACAGTGGTTAACAGCACCTGACGGCAAGGTACACTTGATTATTCAATGCACAGAGGTCAGGGTCAAAGTAAACTGTCAGTATGACCCTCCCATTGAGTTATCAGGTTCAGAAAGAGCCCCTTACTTTATAAACTCCTTCTCAGATGGTAGACTAGGTGTGGTTGAATTCAGACTTAGTCCCAGACTCGGACAACAGTTTTGTCTAAAGGATCATATATGTGCTATTCTGCGTATATCTCACTTCGCTAAGATTTCAAAGTTTCAATGCACTTATTTTCAATTTACCTACTGAGTATCTGATGTAATAAGTGTTCCCTCAGTCTCAAGGAATAACCTTGACAGGTGTCCCTACTCCAGGGGAGATGCTGATGTGCAGCCCACTGCTGTGCAGGAGAGCTCACTGTGCCCTAAGTGGTCCCCTATTTATGGAGTAAGATAACCATGAGTAAGATAATCAAACTACAGTCATATGTGCATGCCAGCTGTATTTCTGTTGATGCATGAAACCAAAAGAGAAAGAGGAACTACAACAATGGGGTCAACTCTTAAATACGTTGATCGCAGGGGTGCTGATTGTCCTGGCCCTGGCCAGAAGCAGGTCCAACTTCTACCAAGGGCTGGGGAAGGCTCTCAACGTTTCTCAAGAATCATCCATCACAGCTCTCCTCCCACTTCCAAAAACCTCACCAGACTCAAATCCATGACACTTTTATTTGCCTATACTTTGAAATAAAAGTTGGACTAGCCTGAGAATACTTGTCTCTAAAGGAACTCTGTCTCATTCAAAAAAATTGTTTTGTGGCAAGTTTGAACTTTAGATCCTACTCAAGCCCAAGCTTTTTGACTGTGCCTCGCTTACATGTATTGACATTCTATTTCTAGTAAGAATCAGATTTCCAGAGATGCAAACAACTTCTTGAATCAGTGGGTTTTCCAGCGATACAAACCTGAAGTGAATGTGCAGACACACCTAAGTGTCTGGGATACATCTGCTTTGCTTTAGCTGTTAGAGAAGGAAACAGATGGTTAGTGCCTTGGGTATCTGAGACACCCACATGGATCTGGCAGATGCAACTCGGAAAATACTGAACATCAACTGAAGGCTAAGAAGAACACCCAACAGTGTCTGAAAAGACACACATTTTGGAAAAGGAAATCCTAACAGTTTGGCTACTTTTGAATGAAGTGACGCACTGTCTGGACTCTTTCCTACTGATTCTCTCCCTGTTGAGTACAATGGGTGTTCAGCCTCGTACTTCACATATGGAGTCCTGCAGTATTGTCCCCTGTATTTAGGTGTCTTAATCTTTGAGCTGAATCTCACTCTGTAGGCACATGGTGGGATTTTGATTTCCCCTCTGAATGGTGTGTTTCATGCCTACAATATTACTGAGATACTTGGGAACCACTTTCTCTGAGGAACCTCAAGTTATTTTCAAGGCTGGTAGAATCACTGTTTTATATATATGGAGAAACTACGGCACTGCTAAGTAAAGATATTTATTGGTCAAAGCTACCCATCATGTGATTATGGGCCAACAGGAGAACAGAAATGTCCTGAATTCCAGTCTGGTGCCTTATCACACAGACAGCACGGAGAAAGAAAAATAAGTATCAATAGCTCTACAATAGCTGCTTAGCATGTAAAAAGATAAAAAGCAAACAAGCAAACAAAATGCCCCAGATGATTAACCTCTTCCATAAGGTTTAGAAAAAGGAAGGGAATTTATTCCCTCTGATTCTGTTCTTAATTCTCTTGGGCTTTGAAAGAAAAAATATACTGAGTGATATTGTCCATCCTGGGAAATCTTTCACATAACAGAAGCTGCAGAAACTCTCCAGAAACTGTATGTGTTCACAGCGTTTTACAATCCATCCTGCTTTCAACCATTCAGAAGAAAACCAACGGTAAGGTTCCAGCTAAATGAAAGAAAGGAAACAGAAGCATAGATTCTGATCTCTTCTTTGGACAAAGAGCATTTAATTTCTTTTCTTCTAGCTGTTAGAGGTCTGTCTTTTTGTCTCATCCCACCTACACTCTGATAACACCAATATAAGTTTGAAGAGTGCTGGAAATTAGTAGTTCCAAGTGAAGCAGAGTGTGAGAGAAAAGAAAGAAGGGTTGTTTGGGAAGGAAAACATATGTGGATACAATAGAACAAAAGATTGGAAAGATGGAAATTTCTTATTGTGCTTTATGCGCTTTTAAAAATTCTATGACCTCTGTTGAGAGATGAGGGAGAAGACAGCAGCAACAATAATATATTTCAATGTATTTTGACATTAATATATTTTTTATTGTTTTTCTCCTTAAATCTAAGCAATGTTCTAGTGTTAGTTAAATACAACCTTACCTTCACCCTCTCTCTGTATTATAAGCAATAGCAGTTCTGAGGATAATGAAGATTTTTGTGTGGTAAAAATTGCTACTTGTATTCCATTTTCAGTGGACTAAAATATAAAATGCATTCATCATAATTTTTACCCTTAGAAGCTTTAAGAAGAGGGAGTGATAGAGCAGCTTTGGTGGGCTCCTGGCAAAACCACCACATCAGTACAACACATATTTCATTTTCTGTGGATTTTTTTGGAACATTTCACCACATTATGGATTTTTTTAGGAATGTTTTATAGGAAAAATACTTTGTGAAAGACAAAGTCTGAATATCATTCTAGAAAGGCAGTTGATCCCTGGTTATAAATGTGCAGGAATAGGTCAAAAACGTTTGTTTGAAACCTTGACTAAGAAGTGGAATGAAGAGTAAACATCAAATTTCAGGTATATTGTAATCAATGAAGATTATATCTATCAAGTAATGCAGAAGAAAAATGCTGGGTAGGTACTTCAATTACTTTAGTCTAAGACTATATCAAAGCTGTTATTTGTGTGAAGTAACCTGTTTCAATGAGTCAATCAATATATTGGAAAACAAATTTTCAGGTACTCAATTCTGAAAGAAAAAAATACATGCATACATCCTAATTAAAGCACTATATTTGAAAGAACAAACGCATTTTTTTCTGCCTTGTCCTAGTTTGAGCTAGAACAGAACCAATTTGCTTTTAAGCTCAGTCTTTTCTAACAGAAGTTTCTGAAGAACTTTCTGAAGTTAACAGCATATCTTTGCAGACAGTGTCTCCTTCTAGAAGTGATAATGCCTGATGTTTGCAGTCACTGCCAACGACTGGGATGCAGAAAGCCTTTTGCTTATATTTATTCCTATGGTAACCAAGGTCACTGCTAAATCTTGTGTATCACATTAGGGTGCTGGGAAGTAAAAGCATTCACAAGGAAGTAAAAGATCACATTTTCAGGGAGGAGCAGATAAGACAGGTGACCCAAACCTGACCAAAAAAAGTACTGCATTCCATGTATGTCATAGTACAAAGCTGAGGGATCACAAGGGTCAACTCTCTTCTTCAATGGCCAGTGTCCACGGAGGACTCCATCCATTCCTCTACCCTTGATCCTAATCTGTGAACTCTCAAATTTACTTCCTGAACCCAATTCTCATCTCTCACTGAGCCCAGTCTAGGACTTCCCCAGTGTCTGCCCTGCAGCATCAGTGGTGATGTGATCATTAGGGGAGTTTGATACTGATTCTGTATATATTCGCATATATTTCATTATTTTATCATTTATTTTATTATCTTCTTTTTTTATTGTTACTGTTTTATTCTCTTCTCATTATTACTGTTTCACTAAAGCTGTTTTATTGTTTTTTTCTAATCCACAAGTCTCTCTCTCCCTTATTTCCTTTCCCTTCCCCTTCTGTACTGGGTTTGTGTGGCCAGGTTTCAGTAGCAGGGGAGTCTGTAGGAGCCAATGCCAGACAGCTCCGAAGACAGACCCACCACAGGCCAAGGCTGAGTGTATCAGTGACGGTGGTAACACCTCTGGCATAACATATTTAAGAAGCAGGGAAAAACTAGTGTGCCATGCCAACGAGCAGAGAGAGAAGGAGAGAGAGAGAGGAGTGAGAATATGTGAAGCCACCAAGGTCAGGGAAGGGGGGAGAGGATGTGCTCCAGGTGCTGCAGCAGAGAGTCCCCTGGCTCATGGTGAAGACCATGGTGAGGCAGCTGACAGGACTTGTAACCCCGCAGGGGCTCACGCTGCAGCTGTCAGTTCCTGAAGGACTGCACCCCGTGGAGAGGACTCACGTTGGGGCAGTTTGTCAAGAACCATCTCTCGTGAGAAGGACTCATGTTGGAGAAAGTTTGTGAAGAATGGTATCCTGAGAGAGGGACTGCACACTAGAGCAGGAGAAGACTGAGGAGCCCTACTGCTGAAGAAGAAGGAGCAGCAGAGACAGCATCTAATGAACTGACCACAACCCCCATTTCCGGTCCCCCTGTGCCACTCAGGGGAAGGAGATGGAGGAATTAGATAAAATTAAGCCCGGGAAGAAGGGAGGGGTGGGGGGAAAGGTGTAATTTTTAAGATTTAATTTTATTTCTCATTGCCCTTATCTATATTTGATTGTTAGTAAATTTAATTTCCCCAAGTTGAGTCTGTTTGCCCAGAAGAGTAACTGCTGAGTGACCTCCCTGTCCTTATCTCTACCCATGAGCCCTTCATTACATTTTTTTTGCTGTCCAGCTGAGAAGGGGGAGTGATAGAGTGGTTGGGGTGGGGACCTGGCCTCCAGCCAGGGTCAAACCACTACAACTTTTGGGAACGGAGAGTATTTGTCTTAATTGTTTAGTGGCCAGCCCAGACCTAAAATCAAGAGAAAGAGAGAGAGAAAAACAGCTCAAGACAAATTTGCCTCATATGACTTCAGCCATTTAGCAAGATTGTGCTTGTGTCTAGGTATCTTTTGGCATTAGTGGCTGTCTGGACTGTAGCTTTGAACTGAGATGAAAAGCAGTTTTAATAATGTTTTGTCTTCCCTGTTTTTTAAGTGAAGATAGGGGTAAGAAGACCTGTGAGGAAATCAGTGAAGCCAGAACATTTTCTTGGAGACAAGATCTGAATTGCCATTCCTATAACACTGTAGGACTCAAAAAATTTTGGGAGTGGTTACATAAAAAAAAAAGTCAATTAGATAAGTGGTGAGACATGTCTATTAAATTATATATTTGCAAGTCCAGTATGGAGAGAATGCTTGAAGGAGATAATACAACATGTTTCTTATTTCCTTATTTTTTCCTCTTTACACATTCCAGGTCTTCAAGGTCATCATGATACCGGAGAATGATACCCACATCCATGAGTTCATCCTCTTGGGATTCCCTACTATCACAGAGATGCAGGCTCTATTGTTTTTAATTTTCCTCATTATGTACTTGTTGACTGTCCTTGAAAACATAGTCATCCTCGCTTTAATCAGAAGAAATCACCAACTCCACAAGCCCATGTACTTTTTTTTAGGCCATCTGTCTTTCCTAGAGGCCTGGTACATCTCAGTCACTGTTCCCAAATTGCTGGTCAACTTTGTGGTGAAGAATAAGAGCATCTCCTTCACGGGCTGTATGGCCCAGCTCTACTTCTTCGTTGCCCTGGTCTGTACTGAATGTGTCCTCCTGGCTGTCATGGCTTATGACCGCTATGTGGCCATCTGCAACCCCATGCACTACCCAGTCATCATGAACCACAGCGTCTGCATACAGCTGGCCATGGGGTCTTGGCTGATTGGCTTTCTGATATCTATGATAAAGGTCCTTTTCATTTCCCGCCTCTCTTTCTGTGGCCCCAACGTCATCAATCACTTCTATTGTGACATCAGCCCTTTGCTCAATCTCTCTTGCACTGAACGGTTAGTTGCAGAGATGGTGGATTTTGTCTTTGCCTTGCTTATTCTGTTGATCCCTCTCTTTGTCATCATAATTTCTTACGTATACATAATCAGCACCATTTTGTGCATTCCCATGGCCCAGAACAGGAAGAAAGCCTTCTCCACCTGTGCTTCTCACTTGACTGTGGTCATCATCTTCTTCTCAGCAACTCTCTTCATGTATGCCCGGCCCAGGAGTATATACTCCTTGGATCTGAACAAACTGATTTCCATAATTTATACTATAATCACTCCAATGCTAAACCCATTCATTTACTGCCTGAGGAACCAGGAAGTAAAAGACACTTTGTGGAAGGTCTTGTGTGGCATGGATGCTGTCTCCAGAGTTTCTGGGTCTGATCACTAATATAATACTTGGAAGACAATCTTCCAGCTGAATTTGTCTGAATACTATGAATGGCTGATAAGACTTCTCCTTTCACAGAAATGGAGATTACAGTGTTGTTTAGACATCTGTGGTTAAGGATTGCTTCACCTGAGTCAATCTGCATGTTAAGCTAAAATCAATGAATACTAACACTGTGTGAATGTAAAAGGAGGTGTTTCTGCTGAACATACCACACGTTATTCTTGACCAGTAGAGAAAGCCATAAACATCATGACCTTCTCTTAATGTATTTTTTTAATCTGCCTCAAAGAACACAACTGAAATCTGACCTTCAGCCAACTTAATATGACACTTGTTTTCAAAAAACTTGAGGCACCAAATAAATAATGTCAACTTTCTTAACAGGGGTTAGGATGTCAATAATTCAGGTAATATCAGTCATTTTAGGTAACTGTCAAGGAGAACATGAACCACTGCTGAGAAGTTCCTTCTCATGATTAATTTCAAATAGGATTATGGGAAGTACCTGAAACTTATAGAACAAAGCTTTACCTTTAGGGAAAGTTAATTTACATAGTTTCATTCCATTTTAAATACTAAATGAGCCTCCTGATTTTCAAGTGTAATTTTCCTTTTCTCCTACATTACATAAGGAGATATAAGCACCAAGAGAATCAATTGTCTAAGCATAGGCAACTAATAGCACTTCTCATGGCATATGATACCCACACAGAGTTGGCAAATTCGGCACTGGACCTATCAGAGGCCTGACCCTTTCTAAAGTAACATTCAGAAGGAGAGGGACAAGAATAATTTTAAGCAATTCGACAAAGGCATGTGCAAAATCCTGCACCTGGGAAAGAATTACCCAATACTTCAATGTAATTTAGGCACTCACCGACCTGGCAACAGATCTACAGAAAAGGATCTGGAGGTCCTGGCTGACAAATTGACACAAGATGACTGCTGCTTGGGCTGTATTAGCAGTAATCTAGCCAGCAAGCTGAAGGAAAAGATCCTTCCTCTCTATTTGTCACCTGAGACTATATTTGTTAATGAGACAACATCTGCAGAACTATGTCCTGTTTGGGGCTTCCCACTACAATGCACAGAATCTATCATAGGGTTCCAACAATGACAGAGGTGGTGAGCCACGTGGTGTACAAAGAGAGACAAATGCAAATAATTTTTAAGACTGGAAAAGAGAATGTTAAGGAGGTATTTAGTCACAATCTGCTGCTACTTGAAGAGTATTATAGAAACTGAACACTGCACTCAAGCTATGGCCCCACCAGTGATGAGTACAGGGGAATGATCACCTCCTTACTGCTGCTAGACACACTAGATTTGATACACTCCAGGATGTCATTGGCCTTCTAGGCCACCTGGACACACTGCTGGCTCATCTGCAACCGCTGTCCACCAGCAGCCCAGCTCCTTTTCTGCCAAGCAGCTCTCCAGCCACTTGTCCTCAAGCCTGTAGCACTGCCTGGGGTTGTTGTGACTGAAGCGCAGGACCGAGCACTTGTTAAATCTTTTACAAATGGCCTTAGCCCATCGATCCAACCAGTCCAAATCCCTCTGCAGAACCTTCCTGCCCTCCAGCAGATCGACACCCCTACTCAATTTGGTGTCATTTTTGGAGGGTGTACTCAATTCCCTCATCCAGATCTTCCATAAAGATATTAAACAAGATTGGCCTCAAAACTGAGCCCTGGGTGACACCACCTGTGACTGGCTACCAACTGGATTTAACTCTATTCACCACCTGTCTGGGCTCAGTGATCCAGCCAGTTTTTAACCCAGTGAAGAGCCCAAGCCATGAGCTGCCATCTTCTCTAGCAGAATGCTGTGTGAGGCAGTGTCAAAGTCTTTACTAAAATCTAGGTAGACAATGTCCACACATGGGTCACATGTTATAGAAGAAGATCAGGTTGGTCAAGAAGGACCTGCCTTTAATGAGCCCATGCTGGCTGGGCCTGATGCCCTGGTTATCCTGCACATGCCGTGTGAGTACACTCAAGATGAATCGCTCCATAACCTTCCTGAGGTCAGGCTGAAAGACCTGTGGTTCTCCAGATCCTCCTTCTGACCCTTCTTGAAGATGGGTGTCACATCGGCAAGCCTCTGGTCATCTGCGACCTCCCGTTAGCCCGGACTGCTGGGAGATGATGTAGAGTGCTTTCACAATCTCCTCCACCAGTTCCCTCACTCTCAGGTGGATTCCATCCAGCCCTATAGATTTATGAGTGTCCAGGTGGCACAGCAGGTCATCCTCTGCTTCGTCCCGGTTTATGTGGAGCACATCCTGTGCTTCGTCCTTCTCCTCCAGCTCTAGGGGCTGAATACCCTGAGGATAACTTGTCTGACTGTTAAAGACTGAGGCAAAGAAGGCATGAAATATCTCTGTCTTTTCCTTATCTTTGGTGATAATGTTCCTCTCCTGCATCCAATAGGGGATGGAGATTGTCCTTGTCTCTCCTTTTGTTGTTAATGAATGTGTTTATAAAAACAATTATCTCTTAGGACAGCGGCCAAATTGAATTCTACCTGGGCCTTTGCCTTTCTGATGTTTCTGCATGACCTAACTAGGTCCCTGCACTCTTCTTGAGTTGCCTGCCCCTTCTTCCAAAGGTGGCAAACTCTCCCTTTTTCTCTGAGTTGTAGGCAAACCTCCCTGTTCACCCAGGCCAGTTGTCTCCCCCTTCTGCTTGTCTTACAACACATGGGGACAGCCTGCTCCTGCACCTCTAAGACTTCTATCCTGAAGAGTGTCCAGCCTTCCTGGAACCCTTCAGGACCATCTCCCAAGGGATTTTCTGAACCAATGTCCTGAAAAGGCTGAAGTCTGCCCTGCAGAAGTCCATGGTAGTGGTTTTGGTGAACCCTCTTCTTACTTCACCAAGAATTGAAAACTCTATCTTTTCATGGTCACTAAGTCCAAGTTGGCCTCCAACCACACTACCCACTAGTCCTTCTCTGTCTGTGAACAGCAGGTGTAGCGAGGCACCTCCCCTGATAGACTCACTTGCCAGCTGTGTCAGGAAGTTCTCTATCACACGCTCCAAGAATCTCTTTAGACTGTTTCCTCTCTGCTGTGTTGTATTTCCAGCAGATGTCTGGTAAGTTGAAGTCCTCCACAAGAACAAGGGCTGTCAATTTTCAGACTTCTGCCAGCTGCTTGTAGAATGTTTCATCAGCCTCTTCATCTTGGTAGGGTGGTCTATAACAGACTCCCAACAGGATATCTGCCTTGACCTTATCCCTGATCTTTACCCACAAAACCTCAACCTTACCATTACAGTTGTTGAGCTCTACACAATCAAAATACTCCCTAACGTAGAGAGTTACCCCACCACCTCCTCTTCCCTGTCTATCCTTTCTGAAGATCTTGTCACCATCAGGGATGCCTGACCTATGTGTATACACTCCTCAGATTTCAACAAACAGGTTTCCATAATTTATACTGTAGTCACACCAATGTTAAATCCATTCATTAACCATGAGGAACTAGGAGGCAAAAGACTCCATGGAAAAGTATCTTTTATGGAAAAAGTCTTGTTGACTACATCAGATGTGTATGTCTGCAGGTGAGTCAGTGCCCACACACATAAGTTAAACTTGGTATTATCTTCCACTATGACAGAGTGAACTAGAGGGTTTAGAGATGGAAGTGAGTTGGGCTCTTGGGTGACTGTGACCTACCTTAGTTGCATTTATTAATTGTCAAACCTGGACTTTGATAATACTTAAATTTCCTTACAATCAACAGTGATGGAGCAGCAGCAACAGGAGTCATATTGCTGAACATAGGGATCATAAAACTGGGTAACTAATGTAAGGTAATGATCCACATTAATTCTGGTGATATCTGCTGTCATATGCACACACAAATCCCACCAAACTCCATATTTTTCTATGAACAGTTTGAATCTCACTCAACAAGCAAGATAGATTTTTCAAATGTGAAGAAAGTATCTGATAAATGTTTGTGGAATTTTAAGTGAATCTCAGGAATTCAGATTTTAGTTTCGAGAAAGTGTTCTGCAATGTCTACTAACTCCAGTACAGGTACAGTATTAACTACTGGATGCTTCCAGCTCTCCCCATTGATTCTTATATTTTATCCAGACTGCTCTGTTTTCTCCTGGGATCCATCTTTGACATCCATCCTGCATGACTTTAGCCTGATGACAGGTTACATTCGCACGGCACTCCAGGCTACATGGACTCTGTGTGATTCTGAGCAATTTCTTTTCCTTGGTGTTCAATTTGAAAACCCCAAATATACAGGACTTTTCTTAGTTAAGTTTTTCAGCATGATGTTAGGTGTTGTTGTGTGGATGAACAAAGACTGATGATACAATGCTTGGAGAATTTGTAAGCCAGAGAAATCTTACCTGTACTATCTATAGCAAACACTAATTTGGGAAACTAGCCGTGAAGTTACATTTTGCAGAGCTGGTTGGCTATTCTACAGCTAAAAGATAAAGAGGGTATGAGCTAGCAAAGAAGCAGGTTCTTATGCAAAGACATTCCCTTACATGAATGGAGATGTCCATTCATATTTTAGATGAGGTAGGGTAACCTTCCTTCTCTGCAGAAATGTTAAGAACTTGAGTGAGATCTACCAAATACATACATGTTTTTGAAATCGCCACAAAACACGAATGTGTAGACAAATTAGTTCCATTTGGAGGGTGACATGCTTTGTGAAACCAGTCAGTTGATCATGTAGGCACCGTAACAGATAATTACTCAAGTATAGATTCATACTTTATAGTTTTGGGTAGCTTCCTGAGGAACCTCTGTCAGCAGCTTGCTCAGAGGAAGAATCACTAGTACCTAACTGAGGAATAGTCACTTCCAGAAAATGTTTCACAGCAGCTAAGTTAGGTTATTGTTTTGTTTCATAAATTGCAAATGCTGAAGAGCCTCAGGAAACTAGAACTGGGCTTCGTGAATCTCCTTCTTGGGTACCTCGGTTATACAAAGGCAAAGTAAACACTGAAATCCCATGAGTAATACTTACGCAATCTTATACTGAACTGTTTTTATGAACAGGCAAGAAGCAGTCATGTCAGTATGCTTTGCAGAACTCCCACCACTTAGGTTATGCTTTTTCAGTTAAATCGTGGCGATATTCTGTGATTCTATGACGGTTTTTCTTCCCTAACCAGTCCAGGACTGGAACCACAAGCTCTGCCAAAGTGATGTGAAGGTAAGAGAAGAAGAGAGATTTTCACTGTTATTCTTCTTCAGCAATTTTTGTAGAGTAATCCTCTCCTTCCAAGAAGGAAACAATTCAGTGGCATCTGTATGAACTGCACTGAGCAACACACCTGGAGCTTCTGAGATTCTTGTTGACATGCACTCACAGAGTCAAGTAAGAGAGAAATATACATGACTGTAGGATGATCTGTCTGACTTATTTTAGATCTCTTCCTCTCAATGAGAGCAGTATTACCTGGAAATGCCTGTATATCTGTACTCTGTAGAAAGAAGACAAATTAAATATACTAGATATTACCTAAATAAACTGTTAACTAAATTTCATGAGATGATTTCCAGCCTCTCAGTATAGTCTTTGGATGTTATGATGCTCAGATGTTTACTCCAAGTAGTTCAAGTGACAGAGGAATGTAAGCACAAGAATCACTGTCACTCTCTTGTTATTGCTTATGTGGAGATTTGACTGATGTGTAAGATGAAGTTTGAGATATACAGATATCCCTGGTTTTATAGATGGAACTAATACTGGCCAGATCAGGAAATGCTGAATACATGTACTACCAAGACAAATTGGTTAATAAGGTATTTTGCAATAAGAAAAATAGTCAAAATTTTGCAGCTTCTTAGATATGTGGAGTTTCTCATGGTAGTAAAAGCTAACAGCAACATGGTTACAAAGTGTATGAATTTGCATGTTACAAGTCTTAATCATGTTTTATATCATCACTTCCAAAGCTACATAAGATTTTAAATGAACAATATCTGGACTGGTGTTTCAGTGTCAATGAATTGGTTTATGAAGTTAAATGTTCTTCTATTACCGAAACTCAAGTGTAAATACACTTTTCTCTAAATATACTGTAAATATACTTTTCTCTAATTTTTAATTCTGGAGGGTGAATGTGGTGGTTTGGTTTTTGCTTTTAAAAATAAATAAAATATTACACTAGATGAAGTGTAACACAAGATGAAAAAGCATTTCTTAGAATAAAATAGTGCATTTTCCAGTTTCAGAGGCTTTCTTTTCTTTTTCAATTTTGACCTGTAGAAATTGAGAATTACAGATGAAAATTATTTTATCAGTTTTTAAAAAAAGGTGGATCGATAGAGATACAGAAAATGAATGAGATATAAAAATATCACATTGAATTTGTTCTTACATCTTCAAAATCCCAAGGGTCTTTTCCAACCTGAATTGTTCTATGATATGATTC